TGAGGAAAACTATGGTGCATTTGGGAGAATTCAGCACTAAGGTGGAAGTGTGTGAGGCTGGAGTAGAAGATATAGGAGCTAGAATGTCCTGGGCCTGATTCCATGTGTAGTGGGGACTTTGTAGGGGATATGCCATACTCAGGACACACACACACACACACACACACACACACACACACACACACACGAGTCCTGGTGACCACATGTGCATGACCAATGGTAGGCATGAGACCCAGAATGCTCTTCTCTGCTCCATTTCCTTGTCTGTCCTCCTCCAGCTCCCGTGTCTGTGCCCTGATTGGATCAATTAGAGCCTCTCCCAGGAATTTAAAGTCGGGCTTCAGAGAGTTTGTCTCTGCTGTGGGCTCAGAAGCGCGGGGGTAGCCATGGCTGACTAGAGAGACCAGTGTCTGTCCGCCAGTGACAGGCAGGCTGCAGTCACTGTCTGCGCTCCTTCTCGACCTTCTTTCTGGTGCCTGACCTTGCTGGTTCTGGGCCTTCATGAGGCTCGGCAGCCCTCCCTGTCCTCACTCCAGTATGCGATGCTCTTTCTACTCACTTGAGTAGCTGTCAACTTTCTTTTCTTTTTTTAAAATATATTTTATTGATTTTTTACAGAGAGGAAGGGAGAGGGATAGAGAGTTAGAAACACTGATGAGAGAGAAACATCGATCAGCTGCCTCCTGCACACCCCTGACTGGGGATGTGCCCGCAACCAAGGTACATGCCCTTGACCGGAATCGAACCTGGGACCCTTCAGTCACAAGCCGATGCTCTATCCACTGAGCCAAACCGGTTAGGGCAGCTTTCAACTTTCTGAATGTATTTTTCAACAGGGAGACATAGAGATACCCAAGTAAGAGGAACAAAAGTCAAGAAATAAAATTCACCCTTACGATGGGCAATGCACTCTTGAAAATCTCCATTCTGGAGGTTTCTCCCCCTTAATCCTCACCCAAGGATATGTTTATTGATTCTAGAGAAAGAGGAAGAGAGAGAGAGAGAGAGAGAGAGAGAGAGAGAGAGAGAGAGAGAGAGAGATCTGAGAAACATTTATGGTTGCCTCCCATATTGTATCCATCAGGGATCGAGACCACATCCCAGGCATGTGCCCCAACCAAGAACTGAACCTGCAACTTTTTTGATGTACAGGATGATGCTCCAACCAACGGAGCCACCTGGCTGTGGCTATTCTGTTTTTTTATATGTTGGTCACAATAAATACAGGAGTTTGGAAAACAAGAAGTGACATGAGTGGTTTTCTCTTTTTTGCAATCAAGAGCTTCATTTGAGAAATCATGTTCACATACTTAACCAGTAGCCGGGGGTGGGGTGGGGGGTGGTGGTTATATAATTCCTGTTCATCAGAAACTACCCTTAGATCAGGGATCAGAAATGAGTTTCAATTTCTATGTCAACTCCAATCAATTGGTAGTGGGCTCCCTGGAGCGCTGTGTGAAGGAGGGTCTGAAGCTCCATCCAGACTCAGAGGGAGAGGGGGCCGTGATCAATTAGTGGCATCTGCCAGGCGCAGGAGTGGTGTGTATGCCACTCGTTCCAGCATCACCCAAGGGCCTGGCACAGAGCAGGTGATCATTAAATATTTATTGAATAAGTAAATGAAACATTTCCTATCCTTGATCTTTGTTGTCTAACCAAGTTAAGCTACCTCTATGAGGGTTCATCTTTTTTTTAAAAGCCTATGTGGAAGCTACTGGTCTTTATTGTATCTTTCAAAAATATGTTTTTATTGATTTGTAGAGAGAGAGGAAGGGAGAGGGAGAGAGAGAGAAACATCAATAAGAGAGAAATTTTGACCAGCTGCCTCCTGCATGCCCCCTACTGGGCATTGAGCCCACAACCTGGGCATGTGCCCTGACTAAGAATCCAACTGGTGACTTCTTGGTTTATGGGTTGATGCTCAACAACTCAGCCACACAGGCTGGGCACCTGCCCCCATCTTTTTTTTTTTTTTTTAATCCTCACCTGGGGATATTTTTCCATTGATTTTTAGAGAGAATGGAAGAGAGAGGGAAAAACAGAGAAATATTGATGTGAGAAACACATCGATTGGTTGCGTCCTGGAAACCAGACCAGGACCTGGGCCAGAGAGGAGCCTGCAACTGAGGTACTTGCCCTAGACCAGAATCAAACCCAGGACCTTTTGGTCCACAGGCTGAGGCTCTATCCACTGAACCAAACCAGCTAGGGCACCTGCCCCCATCTTAATGTCATACCTCAGAATTCACTTTTTCCCCAGCAGGAATTCCTAAAAGATCTCCTTTTAAAAAAATATATTTTTATTGATTTCAGAGAGGAGAGGGAGAGAGAGATAGAAACATCAATGAGGAGAGAGAATGATCTATTGAATACCTCCTGCACGCTCCCTACTGGGGATTGAGCCCAAAACCCGGTCATGTGCCCTGATGGGGAAATCAAACCGTAATCTCCTGGTTCATAGGTCGATGCTCAACCACTGAGCCACACCAGCCGGGCCTAACAGCTTGCTTAATGAAGGCAGGAAACGCTTCAGCATCCAGGTCTCCCTTTCACTGGGACCTTGGTCAGCTTCCTACCCCTCCTCGTATGTGTCCTCTAGAACCACGCTGACCCCAATTTCCTTCGGCTTCCTGGGTTGTGCTCCACCTTGACTGCCTCTCAGGTGCTCCCTGCCTTGGTTCCATTCATCAGCCTGGCTCCTGCGCTCTGGGCCTCCTGCCCTTCTCAGAGACCTCTGCTTTGCCCCTCCTGTCTTCCCTGTGGCTTTCCCCCTCTCTCTTGGCACCCTCAGCCTGGGGCACCCCAGAGTACAAACGCAATGTGTGCACAGAAGGGGATGGCATAGTCTATGGGATGAGATGTTGGCATTGGCACCCATCACAGAGTCACTTCCTAAGAGCTGGCAAACTGAGCAGGAAGGACCGTAAAATGCAGTTTGCTGAGAAGCAAGACATTTCTGTTGTCACACATGAAATAAGTGCAAAGGATTCCATGGGCCCAGGCCTCAGGTGTGTTGTTTTTAAGCAGAAACAACCTCTCTTTCTATTTCTCTGAGACAACTGTGCAGACAAAGAAGAATTTCAAGGCTCTTGGCTGGCAGGCCAGGACAGAGCTGCTGCCACGGGAATCCTACCGGGGGTGGGGAGAGGGCCTACTGATCCAGTGATTGCAGGAGAATTTGGCTCGATTTTCCTTTAAATCACATGCGTGCTACTCAAGGATGCACACAACATGAGGACACTACCTCCCTGGACCCCTTCTCTCTCCTTGGCCACCACGTCCCCCTGGGCGGCATCTGGGCGGGAGTGGGGACAATGACTCGGGCTCTATGAGGAAAGCTCTCCCAAGTGGCCACCTCCGTACCCTGCATGGGCCACTCAGACACGACAGGCATCTGCCTGGGGCTGATGGGCCGAATTAATTGCAATTTCCCTGGCTCTGTCCTTGGTGCTTGGAGCCATTTCCTGGAACAGAGGGGGAGGAAAATATTTCCCCCAAATACCAAGAAGAGTTATTTTGAGCATAAGATGTTCAAAATATGAGGACTCCTTTGGCCAACCTGGAAGCGTTCCCCTCAGCCCAGTGTCCTCAGTTGCTTGAAAAGGAAAAAAAACCTAAAAGCATCCACCATATTTCTCTTGTCTTCTCCCCCTACCAAAATGAGAGAAACGGTCGGCATGGCTTTTCTGCTCATGAGGCCATTCGAATGGGAGTGACAAGCTTCTGAGGCCACGGAGACCGGGCACCCTCTCTCCCACCAGTCCCAGCTGACCGCTGCCCACCGCGAACTCTGCAGAACAAACACAGGGGAGCGGACAGAGGTCACTCCTACGAAGAGGCATCATTGTGCTCCTGCTCCCGTCATGGTGCCTTCACTTCCTGCCCTCTGGCCCACCTCCCCTGAAGACCATCCTTCTGGCAAAAAATAATCATCTTGTCTCTCCAGAGTGCCATTCTCTGATGACAACCGGGCCACTTGCCGCCCGTGGTTCGAACTGTATTTAAGGAGTCACTTTTCGGAAGTGCCCCCATCTTTCAGCGATAGACACTGGAGTGTAGAGGCGACCACACCCGGAGAAGTGGTAACAGTGAGCAGCAGGCCTCTCCCACGACCCTGGGTCCCGCTGCCCGGAGAAACCCTCTCTTCTCAGCTCCAAAGAAGGCCACGTACACAGCTCCGAGGCCAGAAGCGCTGAGACCCGCACAACTGACTCCTTTCCTCCCCCACCTCTGCTCCCTCCTGGTCCTGCTCCTAGGCCTCCACCTTATACCGCCCCTCATAGCCAGGGAGGGGACTCCCCCCACTGGGAACTAATGCCTGAATTCTTTCCTTCCCCAGATAACAGTAGATGTTTTAATTGATTTTAAAGAGAGAGGAAGGGAGAGGGAGAGAGAGATAGAAACATCGAGAGGGAAACATCAATCAGCGGCCTCATGCAAGCCCCAGACTGGGGATCAAACCCGAAACCCCCGCATGTGCCCTGACCAGGTGACCTCTTGGTGCAGGGGTCGACGCTCAACCACTGAGCCACACGCCGGGCATTGCCTTAATTTTGATCCACAGAACAAGGCTATATCGAGTCCTCAGAAACTGAATACTCCAATTCACGTCCCCTAAACCCTCAACTTCATCCCTGACCCCCAGGTGGGAACGAGGAACCCTGATCTTGGAGGATGAATGCGCTCAAGGCAATTTCCAAAGCATTTCAGCGGCTGGGCTGGCGGCTGTGACCATTTCCCGGGACCCTGGCTGGTTCCCTGAGCTGAGATTCCTGCCCCGTGGCACAGCCCAGCCCCAAATCCAACGCCAAATCCAACGCTCCCCGGCTCCCAGCCGCCTTTCCTCTGGCTAGAACTATGCAAATCTACCGTGGTCCAGAACCGAGCCCCCCGCCCTGCCCTTGGCCAGCCTCAGTTTCCCCGGGGCCCGAGGCCAGGAGGGGAGATGAGGCCTGCCAAGAATACCAGCGAGAAGGAGAAAGGAGCGCCCAGGGCCTTACCTCGCAGCTGCTCCGCGATTCCTCCGGGCTCCATGCCTGCCCGCCCCTCTTATAGCCACCCAGGCACACCTTGCGCAACTGTCCGCAGCTGCCCGGAGCACCCGGGTGCCAGCTCCCGCCCCACCCCGTGGGCAGCGCTGGGCCCCGGGGCTCCGGCCCGAGCCTCGAGGGAGGGACTCTGCTGCACTGGAAGCCACGCGCACACCCTCGGGTACCCCCGAAAGTTGGGGACTGCTGGCAGGAGAGAGAAATCCTCCAGGTCCGGCCTGGCAGAGGTAGGGGACTCCTCTGAGCCGGCTGAGGCACCCTTCCAGCCACCTCTCCCTCCCTCCAGCTGACCTGTCCCCCTCCTAGCCTCGGCTGTAAGGGGAGAGTAGGGGCTGGTACCCTTACAGTGCCAGGCACACCTGGGTGCCCAAGGAAAGTTTGCTGAACTGGACCCCAGGGCACCGTGCACCATAGAGCTGGCTTTTAGAGGAAAAAACGGGGGAGGGGGAGAGAAACATCAATGATGAGAATCATTGATTGGCTGCCTCCTGCACGCCCCCTACTGGGGATCGGGCCTGCAACCCGGGCATGGGCTGACCAGAATCGAACCTAGGACCCTTCAGTCCGCAGGCCGACTGAGCTCTAGCCACTGAGCCAAACCAGCTAGGGCCACAGAGCTGGGTTTTTTACATGAGGTATTAGTGAATCCTCCAGGCTCAAGGCCACCGAGAGGGTAGATTTTTAAAACTTGGGAAAACACACATGCAGTGATGATGGTGGTGTGGAGGGGACCAGGGAGGCAGGTTCACACAGGACCTCACCTTGCATCAGAGACGCCCTGATGGAAACATGCCCCCCAGGCTGTGTGCTCCACCAGGCGGCAGGGCCGGTCTGTTCGCTGCTATATCCTCAGTTCACAGCCTGGTGCTTTGCACAAAGTGTTTCATTCTTACGACCTTTTTAAATGAAAATTTCAAGCATACAGAAAAGTAGGCAATATATCCATTTAACAATGGATATAACAATGAGTATTTACTTTTCCATATTTGCCTCATTTGTTTGTTGGCTAAAATATTTGAAAGCAAATTACAAACATCATGACACTTTATTCTTTTTTTTTTTTTTTGGTGACACTTTATTCTTAAATGTGTTCAGCATGTATCTCTAAAAGATAAGGAGGCATTTCTACAGAACTGCAAGACCATTCTCACACAACAGTAATTTCTTAACATCATGAAAGGTCTAATTTATACTTTCAAATTTCCCCAAATATCTAAAAGAAAAATGTCTTTTAGAGTTGCTTTTTTTTTTGAGCCTGGTTGATTAGCTCTTAATAAGTACTTATAGAAGAAAGGAAGGAAATTATGAAAGTCAGACATTCTTAGCATTGACTATGATTTATAATTACACTTGACCCAAAAGGTGGGAAGCCAACTAAATGTCTAACTTGGTAAGATTATTGAAAACACACATGAGAGCAATACGCACACATTAAAAATTGTGCTGTAAGATAATATTTAATGATGTAGGAAAAACAGTTTTGAGGCCTGGAAAGAATCAAATTACAAAATGGTGTGTGTTTTTTAATCACACACGTGTCAACACACACATCCACACTGAAGATGTTGTCACGACAGGGAGTGGGATTAGGAAGGATTTTTAATCTCTTCTTTTGCCTGTCTGTTTTTAAGAAGTGTCTACAATGGAATTACATTTTAAAAGAGAGATTTTATAGTTTACACAGAAATGGTTTTTTAAAATATATGTTTTCTTGATTTCAGAGAGAGGGAGAGAGATCAAAACATCAATGATGAAAGAGAATCATTGATCGGCTGCCTCCTGCACACCCCCTACTGGGGATTGAGCCTGAAACCCGGGCATGTGCCCTGACTGGAATTAAACCGTGACCTCCTGGTTTATAGGTCTCACTCAACCACTGAGCCACACCGGCTGGGCAGAAATGGTGTTTGTACTGTTTCTCATATACAGGCTGTAACACTTACTACGATGAAGTTTTCTTTATCCCCAACGTCTTTGTAAATTGGTTCTAAGTAGGGACTTCGCTTATGTGCAGGGACCTTGGCAGCCTTAGATGACTTGTCTCAGAATTACCTTCTTTAGGGTCATGGGGTGGATTGGGACCAGAGTTCCGGTGTGAACATCAAGCAGCACTTGAGAACACATTGTGAGGACATGGCAATGTGGTCTGCCTGTCTACCTATTTTTTTTGCATTTGCTTGATTACTAAATTATTATATAAATTATTTTAAAATAAAATATTATATAACAAAATATTTTATTTTTAAAAATATTCAAAAGAGATATGAAAACTCAGTTCCCATCTCCTCAACTTCTCTCTCTAGATGTAATGGTTGCTACCCATTTCTAGTGTGTCCTTTCACGGATATTCTTTTTCTACCCTTCATATATCTATAGGGCATCCCTGAAAATGTATACATAATTTTAATAATTATTAATTCCAATGTGTTAAATCTGAAAAGAAAGAACTATCAATTGAGCTATCAGAAAAAAGTGTGTGTACATTTTGGGGGGACACCCTGTATTTTCTTTAAAACACATAAATACACACACACACACAAATGATGTCATACTATTCACACTATTGTTCCTGCCCCTTGCTTTAAAATCTTTTTATTTTGGAAAATTTCAAATTTCTGTAGCGCATTTACGAGAAAAAATGGCATAACAAATCTTTGTGTATGCATCAGCCAGCTTCAGCCATTATTATTCTCTCACTTCTTTCACTTAATCCTATATAATAAAAGGCTAATATGCCAATTGTCCCCACAGGGGGGAGATCAACCAACTGGGAGTTAGATGTGTGCTGACCACCAGGGGGCAACATGGAACATGGCAAGCATCAGCAACGTGGCGCTGGCAGCAGGCAGCAGTGGAGGTGCTGCTGGCTCTGATGGGCCCCAACGAAAGTCGGACCGCGGCAGGATGGTGGAGCAGGTGAGCGGGCAGTGCCAGGCCCAGACAGATGTGAGTGGGGGCCCTGATTGCCCTGCAAGTCACCCCACAGTTCAGCCCTGATTGCTGGCCAGGCCTAGGGACCCCACCCATGCACCAGGCCTCTAGCATATCTATAATACAATTTCTTATTGACATGCAGAGACTTGTGCCAATCTTTTAAAAGTCACCATATATTTCATATATTTCGTTTTATGGATGCACTGTAATCAATATAATGATATTGTTGCATGCAAATGTTGTAATTGATTTACTTAAATATGCTTATGTGAGTATATCTGTGGTGAACAATTCTGATAAGTAGAATTGTTGAGTCAGAGGGTATTCACATTCAAAATGGAAATATATTGCCAAATTACATTCCTTAGAGATTGCACCAATTTGTAATTGGCTACAAGTAACAGTGACTTAAGCATTAACAGCATTTGGTTATCCAGAAGCCTGGAAGAAGGCAAGGGCGGTACTTGGTGACATAATTGAGAATCCTGCTCTTTCTGTTCTTTTGTTTTTTCCCCCCCCCATTGTGTCCTATTGCTTCACAGTTGCAAGGTGATGCTGCCCCTTCAGGCATCATGTCCTCTCTTCTTGAAATTCTGCTTCAAGTTGGGGAAGGGAAGTTAGATTTTCCCTTATTTTCATTGACCAGAACTGGACATATGCTCATTCGTAGACCCATCACCCAGAAAAAGGGAATGTGATTCCATGACTGATTTAGACCAATCATAATCCTTCCTCTGGGGCTGGGGTAGATCAAGGTAGATGAAGCGAAGCTCTGTCCTTACCTGAAAGAATTGAGGTTCTGTGAGCTTGAAAGGAGAGAAAAAATGGCTATTGAATGCACAACCAATAGTGCTTGCTATAGTACTCAACTCTGCTGTATTATCAAGCTTCTAACCAACTTGACTTAATATTAAATAGTCAGACTTGAAAAATCATTTTTTTGGTCTAAATACTAAAGACGTTCACAATTTTTTTAAAAGGTAATTCTAACACTTTGGCTTTTTCTTTCTCAAAGCACTTTCATGATCTCATTTGATTTAACCCACAGAAAGAGGTAGAGCAGGTCTTAGTTCCATGTTACACATGGAAGCCTAAGAATCAGAGCAGACAAGGGACTTGCCCAGCAAGTGACATCATTAGATGCTACAGTTTTCAGCTGAGGTGGCCCTGGTTCTGCACTATGTCAGTGGAGAGTTTGACAACAGCCATGAGCTGTGGGCTCATGTGGGTTTGCTGGGAACTGAAGGTGGCCTCACAGAGCTCTGTGCTTTGAGGAGCAATTGGTGGTGTCCTGTTGAGGGAAAAGGAAGGCAGACAAAGGTTAAATCTCCATTTTGATTTTAGGTCATCCCAACCAAGCAGCTACTTTTGTGGGAAATATGCCTTTCAACTCACTTTGAGGAGAGGTCTACACAGACCTATAGATTGGACTAAAAAAGCAGCTGGATAATTCAGTTAAATAATGAGTCTATCATTTCCCCAAATGAAGTGTGTGTGTGTGTGTGTGTGTGTGTGTGTGTGTGTGTGTACTGGATTGGTTCTTTTGGTGAGTACATGGCCTCTAGCAGGTGTTCCATAAATGCCTGTCAGGTTCATGAATGGTCTGAGTTCTTTCTGCTAATGACTGATGTTCTTTCTATTATTATCTGTCAGAGCACCCTGGGCATTTCTACATAGCATCAATAAAAAACTATAATCAATCAATTAGTTGATTTCAAATTTGTCTGCTCTTCGGTCTCCATCATGAGAACACAAGTTCCGTGAGGGTCAAAACTGGGTCTGCCAGCCTTGGGGCTGACACATAGTAAGGGCTCTGTAAGCTGTTAAATGAAGCTTTGAACAAATGTTTATATCCCTAGTTTTTAGCAGTGCCTGGCACATGGTGGGCCCTCAATAACCGCCCATGGAATAAATGCCTGACTAAATACAACAATGAATTCATGTGAGCTCACCTTTGACAGGCTGGGGTGAAGACTGCAGCTTGACAAAGTGGAGTCAGGACACCCCGGTGGACAGAGAGCCCACATGAGGTCTGCTGGCTT